TCATAAATTCACTGAATGGATGCATCTACTTATGCCTTCACTTGACAGAGCTTAGTAGGGCACAGGCCCTACCACAGAGCCTATTAGAGCATATATCAGTCCAGGGGGCGGGTTCCCCAGGGGCTCATAAACTACCCCAAGAAAGCAACTGCCTTCCCTGGGCCACAACTGTGGGGAGGGGGTGGTGGGCCAGTATTTAAAGCTCCCTTGAAGATTTATAGAGACACACCTCTAAATAACGGTGAAGGTAATAACCTAAAAGTAGGGCTTAGTGAGCCCTTACTATGTTCCGTGCATTGTTTAAAGCAGCTAATCTTCCCCAGTGTTTCTCATACTCCTTTGATCACAGGATACAGAGTCCAAGAAAAGAGCCCTCAGTGTATAGACGTGACCCAGACCTGGAAGGCTGGTGCCGAGGCCCCAGACATGGAGTTTCTCCTGTCTCTTGGAGTGAGATGGTTTCTCTCTGTCCCCTCCCCCAGCAGGGCCCTGGTCTGGTCTGGCCGGAGAGTGAGGAGGAAACGGTGTGACTCTTGGAAATGGTGACAGTTGGGAAATGCCGGCTGGGGTGGAGGCCCCTTGGTGATGGGCCTGTAGAAGGTGGAGGGGCCCAGAAAGGACTGTGCGGAGATTCAGAAAAGAGGTTCACCTACTTCCGTTGTGCTCAGAGCTGGCCTGAATTTTTAATTGAAGCAAATTAAAACTTCCCAAAAATACTAGTCCACTTTCCTGGCAGTGTACACACCCCCTTCCCCGTCAGTGATTTTGTTACCTTCTGCGAACGAGAGCCGGAGCTGGTCCTGAGGATGGCCTTCCTCGGCCCCTGGCCCAGAGCTGCCTTTCATGGAGGCCAGGCCCGTCTACAAGCACTTTCCCGGGAGCCCCTTCAGCTCATGGTCCAGATGGGCAGAATAACCTCCAGTCATTTTAGGGCGATTTGCAAAGCCCTGGGAGGCTAGTGCTTCTTCCATTTCTTGGTGCTAAAGATCCCTGGGAACGTCTTTATCTTCTTTATCAATTCTACGACATCCTCTGCTCCCTTTGTCCTGAGGTGCTCTTTTCTTTGGTGACTCAGAAGACAGGTGCTGGTGTTACCTGCCGAGGAAGTGGTCAAGGGTGAGACTGTTACCACTGCTGGAACTGTGTGACCTTTCGCTCTGGGCCTCGCCAGGAGGGGGTGCCAGGATGCACTCTAAGCAGATGGGACTGCTTTGTCACTGCCACTTGTGCACAGATGTCAGTCAGCAGGACTGGCCTTCCACACCCTGGTCTGTCCCCTGAGATCGATTTGTCTGTTTGGGCTGTCCTCTCCCCTCCAACAAGTGCCCATTGACCGCCTGCCTGTGGCCTTGGGCTTGCTGTCGGTGGTAGAGAGAAAGGGTTCACTCCCTGAAACTCTAACACGGTGCTGTATTTTCTGTGGAAGCAAGGTGGGAAGGGGTAAAACACATATTCACGTTTGCTTCTATTTGTACTCATAAATTCTAGAGGGATAAACAGAAATGGGTGGTGGGGGATGAAGATGAGGACAAGGCAGAAACAGGGACAGCGGTGGTATTGAATTGTTTTAACTTTTTTTCTAAACATTATTTTAAAACTCTCAATGTATTATGATTTAAAATTATATTTAAAATTTTACATGAGACCCTAGGGGGTCAGTGGACCAACCAAGTGGTGTAAACACTGACTCCTAAGACTTCGGAAGGGGGAGAGCAGGTCAGCTTGAAGGACCCATCTTTCTGTCTCAGTGGGAGAGGGTCCATCTTTGCTGATGAGTCATCTCAAGTGGAGTGAGGAGTAACGTCCTTCTTCCTTTGTCAAGATGCCGTGGCAGCTTCTGAGAAGACCCTGCCCAGATCGGTTAGCTGTGGGTAGAGATTCAGCCATGGTTCTCTGTGTGATGCTTTGCCCGTCTCTGGGCACATGCAGTATTTTGCATCTACCCACTCACGAGTCAGTGTGGTGCGGTGGTCACGTAGGAGAAGGCACAGTGGAGTTAGATGCAAAAGATCCAGGATTATGCTTCATTTTTGCAGCTCACTGTTTAGCCACGAGCAAGTAACTCGGCTTCCTGGTCCACGGCACTTTCATCGATAGCGAGGGCAGGAGGCTAATCAATAGCTTACCCAGTTCAGAAAATTGTTGGATGCAGTAATGTACGTGGGGGTGCCATGTGAACCACAAAGCAAGTGCTGGTTAAAAACCCGCCTGCTGTTGCCTAGAAATGCCCTTTGCCATCAGGAGAGGGAAAGCCTGTGTCTTACTGCCCACGTGTTCATTTATGAGTGGGTATTTCTCCAGTGTGCTTCAAACACTGCTGGGGATGTGAGCAAGCCGTGGCGTGTTTGTTCTTGGCTCATCTTTTGTCATTTGATCATCTTGGACTCGGGGACTTCTCTGTCCTCCACAAAAACATTCTTCAGTTTATTAGTTACTATAATTACTTGTGCACTCGCCTCCAATCCCACAGACGTCTGTTGAGCTCATAAAGTGTGCCAGGTTCTATGTGAGAGGAATGGAGGGTGGAATATAAGGATGAATCAGACATGCTCCTGCTTTCAAGGAGCTTGCAATCCAGGGAGGGAGTGGAACAAGGCAGTTTGGAGCTGGGTCATGCAGGAGGGGGAAGATTACAGTAGGAGAATATCATAATGATGGCCGTTTTGGAGCGTTGCTTGTGCCGGTCTGTGTCCTAATCATTGTATTGACATTGTCGAAGTGCGATCTCTTATTTCACAAGTGAGGAAGGTGAGCTCAGGTTAAGAAAGGTGACTCTCACCAAGGGGATCTCAAACTCCGGCCCCTTCTCTCTCTTTTCCTGAAACTAGACCTATTAGAATGCGCACCGTGGTTCACCCTGTAGTCCTTATAAATCTGTCCCCTCGTGGCACCAGGTTCTAGGGATACCACAACCTACCAGAAAAACCTCCCAGGCCCTCAGCACCCAGATATCCGTGCAGTGCCTGCTCTTTCCTATTGTGGGGCCGTCCCCCAGCCCTTCCCCTGCCCACCCTGCATTGCATGACTGATTCTTCCTTCCTTCAGGTCTTTGCTTAATTGTCCGCTCCTCGCAGGGTGTGCCCTTAACTGTGCCGGCTCAATGCTCTCTGTGACTGCTTTTCTTCCACGGCCCTTGCCACACTTCAGAATTACAAATGTATGTGCTTGCTTGCTTGTTGTCTGTAAGCTGCCCAAGGCAGGGACCATGTCAGGTTTTCTCGCAGATGTATACCCAATGGCTGCTGTAGAGTGAACGCGTGGGCCTCGGGTTACACTCTTGGGTATGCATGAAATATTACTTTACAGCATTTTCAAAACGACCTTTTATTTCCAGCCCCCATCCCATGGGGTTGGCAGGACTCACTGACCTCCCTCATTCCCTGCCTCGCCTGGCCCCACCCCTATCTTGGGGGACCTTCCTTCTGCTTTACTGATGGGGAGGCCAAAGCCTCCTTCCTGCACTCCCCCCCCCCCAGCTTCTGGCCACCTACTCTCACTAACCCTTTCATTTTCCTCCTCTGCAAACCTCCCTAGGTTTCCTGAGACTGGCTCCAGGATGAACAAAAGGCAGAAAGGTTTGCAAGCTTTCTGTCCTACCCATCCCCCAAAACAACAAAATTTAAAGCAGCCTACCTGCTCCGATGGGTTTGGGGGAGGAGAGAGAGAGAGGACATAGGTTCCTATGTCAAAATGTCACTAGCCACAGATGAATCCGTACCTCTGGAGCTGAAAGGTGGGCTCTGTGGGGGTGAGAACCTTTAGATACAGGCAATGCTGTCCTGGGATTGGATTTGTTTCAAAACTGAGTCCAGGTTTACTGAGGGTCACAAGGATTACAATGGGATAAACCATTGCAGAGTAACAACAATAGTAAATAATAAGGATGACATTTATTGAGCACTTATTCTGTGCCAAGCATTGAACTGGTATTTTATATAGAGCATCTCTAACTCCAGAGCCTGGGCTCTTTCTCAATGACAGGTTACCTCTCTTGTTAAAATAAGGTCTTACTCACCACGAGGCCTGTCAAACAGCAGAAGGCACGGGACGCTCTGCGGAGCAGAGAGATACTCTTGACAAGAGGGAATTCCAGGTCAGTTAAGTGACAACCAGACGCTACCTGAATCCACATTCTACCATCTTCCAGAAACTCTGTAGCCTGCTAAGTTAGGATTACAAATACAAATATTTGTCCATTGGCCAAGGAGTGTCAGAATCTACCCTGGTGGAGGCAAAAGTGATTCCGATCTTTCTGTCTTATTTCAATCATGAATTTGCATGGTTGGTATCTTTGATTTGGCTGGAAGACATTGTCTTTGTAAGAGGAAGCCAACTTCCACTTCTTTCATGTGTGTACTTTCATTTTTCATATCGCAAGCTACCTGAGGGTTTCCAGTACTTGTATGGTTTTGATTTGTAGTGAAACTGGCATAACATTGAGCACTTACTATGTACCAGGCACTGTTATAAGTGCTTTACATGGCTCAACTCATTCAATCCTCTCAACAGCCCCATTATTATCGCTGTCTTGCAGATGGGGAATCTGAGGTGCACAGAGGGTGAGTAACTTGCTCAAGGTCATGCAGTTGTCAAGTGGCAGAGCTGGTCTATGAACTCAGGCTGCTTGGCTCCAGACGTCATGCTTAACCACTCCCCTATACTATAGCTAGGAACACAGATGCAGTCTGTTTAAAAAATTTATCTGGGAAGTTCAAGGTGAGACGCTCAAGTCAGACTGGGCTGTGGAAGAGTGCAACGGGGAGGGGGAGGGGGAGGGGGTGCTCTGAGCTTCTGCCCTTGCTGTCACCTTTCCTGTCACTATTTGAGCATCTACAGGCTCTGAGTTGGGAGTGGACAGGGTGGCCACAAACACACACATACTCACTCACTCTCTCTCTCTCTCTCTCTCTCTCTCTCTCTCTCTCTCTCTCTCTCACACACACACACACACACACACACACACACACACACACACACTGGCCATCCTTTGTGCACACAAGAAGCACTCTTGTTACAGGAATGAAGACCCCATTGGGAACACTCTTATTGGGACTGACAATCACAGGTGCGCTGGAGGCAGGAGGACACAGTGGAAAAGCCTCCAGGATGCCAGGAGGCCTGAGTGGGAATAGTGAAGGCATACGTGAACCCTGCTGTCTAATGGGATGAGCTGGGACGGAACAACTGGTGGTTGTCAGCATCCCTTCCACCTCCACCCTGAAAGGAGAGATGAACTCGGGTGCCTACAGATTCTTTGAGGGGAGATTGCACTTCATCCTTGCAGAGGCTAGAAGATAGAGAAAGGGGCTTGCAAGGCTAGAGACCGAAGCTGCTGACTGTGGGTAGGGTGGGAGAGTCCCCAGTCGGAGGGTCCAAGAAGACTAGGACCTGTGCTCACCATGCTCCCTGGGGAGGGGCAGGGCCTGAGAGGATGAGCAGAGTGGTTCCCATAAGGCATCAGTGTCTAGGGCTCCGTACACGAGGTCCCAGGTTGGCAAGACCCGCCTCAGGCTGTCTTGGTATTAAAGTAGCTGCTGTCTGACTTTATGGGGGTAGAAGAGCAGGACTGGGGCCATGAGCTGGACCCAGATGTGGGAGGCAGACTGAAGACCAGAAAGCCCTCCACGAGCTTGCCACTGGGAAGAGCCCCAAGGCTCTTGCTTATCTCGGAGGAAGTGAAGGTCCGGTCCAAACCACACTCCAGGGTGAGACTTGGAATTCCCTGGCTTAGTGCGACAGAAGATTGGGATGGTGTGTGAGTGCGTGGGGCTGCCGTAACAAAGTTCCACAAGCCGAGTGGCTTAAACGACAGGCATTTATTATCTCACAATTCTGGAGCCCGGAAGTCTGAGATCAAGCTGTTGGCAGGGCCACGCTCCCTCTGAGGGCGCTCGGGGAGGATCTGGTCCAGGCCTCTCTCCCAGCTCCTGGGAGTTCCTTGGCTTGTGGCGGCATAACTGCAGTCTTCACATGGCGTTCTCCCTGAGTGTGTCTGCGTCCAAATCCTCCTTTTCATAAGGACAACAGTCATCTTGGAAAAGGAGCCACCCTACCCCAGCGTGACCTCATCTTAACATCTGTAACTGTGCTATTTCCAAATAAGGTCACATTTGGAGGTAATGGGGATTGGGACTTCAACATATGAATTTTTGGGGGACACACTTCAACCCGTAACAGATGGGTCTCGCATTCTGAGTATTGGGGCACAGTTCACACCCTCTGCTTACACATAGCTGACTCCCACACTGGCACCTTGTTTCACCCTCTCAACATTCCCTGTGCGACAGGAAGGCCAAGCACATCCCTTTTAGTAAAAGAGGCCTGGAGGGGCTAAATGGCTGTAACTCATACAATCACCTTCTATACACCAGTGATGCCCTGTTGGCAGCCTGCTTCCCAGCTGTGACCAGGGCAGGTTAACAAGTCTCCCTGAACCTCGTTGTAAGGCTGAGATGCCTCTGAAGAGGGCCTAGCTGTACTTGCTGGCATAAAGCAAGGTTGGGTTTTCAACAGTCACTAGCTGCCCTCCCCCTGTCCCCTTTGTGCGGCTCTGAGTCTAGAAAATTTTCCTCTGGGTTGAGCTCAGACCCAGATGAGGGCAGGAGTCGGAGAGGGTAAATTACACGTTCAAGGTCACAGGGTTAACCTTTTCTCCACACAGAGCACCATCATGGCCAGCGAGCTTCCTGCCCCCACCGTCCCCTGCCCATCAGCTGCATCCCCAGTTCTCCCTGCAGGTCCTCTTACATTTTCCTGAGGATTCTGGGAAGTGGCCTCAACGCATGTTATCCAGGGGCTGTTTATGTACATGGCCTTGCACTAGGTGCCCAGTTTCAGCGAGACCCCAGAGAGTCAAATTGGGGTCCAGTAGTTCCTTCCAAAGACCTTTGCCCTTGGACAAGGAGATGTGACCTCCAGGAGTGGGGGCAGGGGAGAAGAGATGTGAATGGAAACTGAGCCACAGAATCTTACAGCGGGTTGGAACTTGGGCACACACCTATTCCAGGCTCTGCTAGTAGCTACAGGTGGAGAAACGGAGGCTCGGCTCGGGGGAAGGGAAGGGAAGGTGATGTACCAAGGTCAAATGCTGGGCGGTGCCTGGTAGCAGAGGCCGGACATCTGGGGCTCTACTGAGGGAGGGGGTGGGTGCTTCCCCGTGCTGTGAGCTCAGTTCCCAAGTTTGGGGGGGCTTAGCCTTTGAAGGGGTCGTCTCAAGGGCTCTTGCGGGGAGGAAAGGCTAAAAGCAAGGCGGGGGAGGGAATTTGGGGATTGTGGGACTGGAAGGCCGAGCCCCCGCCTCCAGCGATGCGTGGGGCACCCGAAGAAGGGGCTGGCGGGCAGGTGGGGTGCTGCGGGAGCCCACGCGTGGGGGCCGAACCGGCCGGGGCGGGGTGAGTCACGGCCCGCCCGCTCCCATTGTGTGGCCCGGCGGCGGCGGCGGCGGCGGAGCCGCGGAGCCGAGCGCGAGGAGGTGGAGTCGCGGGCTGCGG